ACACGCTATTCCTAAAAGTATCCATCGTCATTCACAATGTACGACTAACTGATCTAAAAGTATGACGGGGTAGTTCTAAAAAGATGTGACAACCATGACCCCCTTTCCCAATCCAGACCCCGATATACCCTGCCGGGGGTTGCGAGAATAACAACAGAAATAACAGAATATACATTTTCAATGGAACACATGATCCGTTCGTTTATTTTTTAATTTTTTTTATTATCATCATCGTTGTTATAATCATCATATACACACGCCGAGAAGGGGGGCGTGCGCTTGTTCAGGCGCTAGTATCGGAGCCTGCTGTACTGCCTATCAACTCGGCCACGAGCTTCTACAACTAGATGTCTATCTAGACGTTGGTTTCTCCTTCCCTCGGGTAATGTGCGCCGTCCTCGGTGTCGCGCATAGGTGACGGTAATGCTGTAGGGTTTTTCTTCTTCTGCTTCTTCTTGTTCTTCGTCGTTGCGTCGTCGTCGAGTTTTTTCTCTTTTGGCGTGTGGTTGACGTGGTCGGCTTCTTCGGCGGCCGGTTCGTGGATGTCTGGTCTGTCGTCGTTGCTGTCGCCGTGAGTAGTTTTTCGTGGTTGTGGTCGGTGGTGCTGCTGCCTTTTGTTGGTCGTGCTCGGGTGGTCTGCATCGTTGTGGTCGTCGTTGTTGGTGGTGGTGCGGTGCTGATTTGGAACACGTCGTCGTTCTTACACATATGGTCGTTTGACTGTAGAGACATGACCGTACTACGCTATAGGTAATGGTGAATGGAGCAAGGTGAGGAAAAGGTTCTTATACAGCTGGAAGCAAACTGGGGTAGTCGCTCGTGCCTTTTAAAATGGAGAGCGACTGTCTAGCGAACTACCGGTCGGACACGGCAGAACAGTTGTGCGCCATTTTGTGATAAGCGAGCGGGAGAGAGAGAGAGAGAAGGCTGTTTGGTTTACGACCGTAATTGAAAGGTTTATATCGTCAATGCACACAATGGAAGACACTGCCAGAGAGAAATGGCGTGTAAGATGGGGGATGTAGTTTTCGCGATATTACGCAAGTTTATTTGGGAAAACTGATGAGACAATGGCGACGACATGCACGACTGTGTATTAGAGACGATTAGAGCAGTTAAACCAATTAACGATGTACGTAGGGGTTATTTTCGAGACAATAGACAAGTCTATGCGAAGGAAAAGGTGTAGAGGCGACGGCGTCGACACACACGGTGGTCGAAACGATTGTGTAATAAGGGATGGTTAGATCTAGTAGCAACAATATATGATAAGCCGTGGACATATGGTGTGTAAGATAATAGAGGTGATTTTCGTCTTTCAACTGCGCGTACTAGCGTACATTGTGACAGCTATGGCTAGAATGAGGACACGTCCAATTACCTTTCAGGACCATGGGTGCATATCACTCTCAAACCATGCTGTCAACAGCTATCCATACAGTTTGGACGTAATGAGCCTGTTCTTAAAAACAACTATGGCGGTATAAGTAGCAGAGATACTTTGGTAGAGGTGTGTGGTAATAAAATAGACTGTAGTGGGGTGAAGAGATTGGAATATCCTATACTGTTTATTTGCAACACGGACAGAAAAAGCGAATCGGGTAGATTACACATGTACGCCTCGTACGGTATAGATTACACACGAATATGGCCCGAATTTCACGATTTTGTGACAAAATACAGTCGTTTGCATTATTCCTACAAAAGAGTTCGTGTACAAAGCCTGTCGTCGGTAGCTTGCGGTCACCATTGTTTATATTTCGGCAGCTAACGATCTCGAGGTATTTCTAACGATGATATAGTTAGGCATTTCAGTAGTCTGTCTCACAGTCCCTGAACCACATTAATTTCCCTACTCTCAGTAAAAGTAATACGCTTGCAAACGATTCCATGGTTTTCAGATGGTATGATAATACCAAGAAGAGTATACTCAAGAACTTCAAGAGCAAGGGTTTTTGACGAGGGAAAAATTAGCTTAGTGACAAAGCTGTAGGAATGTTTACACTGTTTCCCACGCCGCCGTATCGAACCAAACCGATTTTACTAGCCAACCATACAAAGAGGTGTTATGTGCGGCTTTTAGCACTTACGCAGCTAGGTACCCACGGCGATAACGCCTGTGTATGATTATAGTTGTGTATAATGCCTACATTAAACTTCACTCTCTGCTATCTCGTGACAAGATAGCTCTTTTCAAGCATCCTCGGGATGTTCTAGAAGAGAAATGTTGTATAAGATAGTAGATGTAATTTTCGCGATGTGAATTTATTTGGGAAAACTGGTGAGACGACGGCGTCGACACACACGACTGTGTATTGAGGGACGATTAGAGCAGTTAAGCCACTTAACGATGTACGTAGAGGCTAGTTTCCAGACAATAGGCAAGTCTATGAGAAGGAAAAGGTGTAGCGACGACGGCGTCGACACACACGGTTGTCGAAATGATTGTTTAATAAGGGCTGGTTAGACCACACCTTACGCCAGCAGTTGAAAGGATTATAGCGCCCAACGCACACCATGGAAGACATCGATAGAGAGAAATGGTGTATATGGTAGTAGAGGTAATTTTCGTGACAATACGCGAGTTATTGGGGAAAACTGGCGAGACGACGGCATCGACACTCACGGCTGTGTATTAGAGGACGATTAGAGCAATTAAACCTATTGACAACGTACGTAGGGGTGTAGAGGCGATGGCGTTGACACGCAACAATTGTGTAATAAGGGATGGTTAGACCTAATAGCAGCAATATACGATAAGCCGTGGACATATGGTGTGTAAGATAATAGAGGCGATTTTCGTCTTCCTACTGAGCGTACCGAGCGTGTATTGTGACGGCTATGACTACAACGAGGACACGCCCAATTACGCTTCGGGACCATTGGGGTGTATATGCCCACGCACTTGACCACTCACAAACCATACTGTCATGACCCCTTACCGTCCAATGACAGGACGAGGCGCCCTTAGGTCACGCCCCCTTCCCTTTCTTTTCGGACGTAACCGCAGATGGTGACGAGAGTATCACGCACACCGACACGCAGTAGCTAGTTGAAGCCGTCTGCCCGAGAGCGAGGTTGTATATTTTGAGTGCTCCGTACAACGATGTCCTGCTACTACGTTCCCGATTCGCATAATGAGCAGAGTGATGGAGAAAGATGTAAACTTTTCTTCAATAAGATGGGAGAAGTATCGCCATCATCGCACACTGGAAACGAAGACACCTTGTCGGTGGACGGGAAATATGGTCTCCCAACTGTTTTGTGAGTAGAAATGTAGCTGTGCATATGTACGAATAAAATTTGTGAAATTTTGTTTTTACTAGCCTCTGTTGTGTTTTATATAAAAGTGTTGACGTTGTCTACCTCGTTGGTATATTTTGGTGTGGTTTAAACAATGAAGGATACGGTGCTCGCGCGGTCTAGTATTGTAGAGAGCTTTACATAGACTGCCCGACTCAATATCTTCTTTGTTGTATTTGGTAGAATATAACCGCCTTCCCGTGTTGTATTGTAGCGAGCTTTACATAAACTGGAGGGTGTGTTATTTTTGAGTGTCTTGTTACATTTGTTTTGCTTCCTAGTATTGTAGAGAGCTTTACGTTGGCAGCACGACATTTACAGACCTCCTTCAAAATTATTATTTGTTCCCGCTTTCGGGTTTATGATACGAGGTAGAACGTAACCTCATACCACTCTTGCTGCTTTACCGTTTTCTACCTCACATTTTGTTTCATGTAGAATGTCACCGTCTTACCGTCTTGTATTGTAGAGAGCTTTACTCAGACGGAGCGGTCGTGTGATTAAGAGTGTCTAGGTATTTCTTGCGGTCTAGTATTGTAGGAAAGCTTTACATAGACAGCACAGATTCCTAGCCTCCTTCAAAAACTCAAATATTATTGGCAACGACATAGTTGCATTTATGAGGTAAAACCGCGTCTGAGAGCAATTGAGAATTTAGCTTGACGGACGCATTCTTATGGTCTCCATTTTTGTTTGTGTGACGTCATCAGTAGGTGTCACATGCGCGCGCACACACACACACACACACGTGCATGCACGCACACGTACTAGATGACCATTCCCCTATTTGTGACGGTTCAATGACCACGTGACGTCAATACCGTCGTTGTAGGTCGTGACGTCAGTGTGGCAGTATATTTTCGCGGTTGCGTCACCATCAAGTGACGTCACTGCCTTCGTTTGTAGATCGTGACGTCACGAGACCTATCGTCGTGGCAGCATATTTTCGAGGTTGAGTCACGTTACGTCACCTCGGAAATGTGCTGCTACCATACTACTATAGCTTTGTGAAACGGGGCCCAGGACCTGATTTTTCGAAACAAACATTCTCAAATTTCAAACTGAGTTAGACCATTTGAAACAGCTGCATTTCTAAAGCCAAAAAGCTGAAAAAGAAACTCAAGTAACTTATCTACTTAAATTGTCAACTATGTTTGAATGAAATATTGATTTCAGTTTATTCTGGGAACTGCATTTTCCTGCTTTTTCTGAAATTAGAGCAAAAACTTTAACTTTAACTCAGACTTTAGTTGTTTCAATAAATCGGGGCCAGATCGAGTTGTTTAATGTGCCTGACTTTGAGTTTGTTTGTCTGGAGAAACGAAATAAACTGCAAGTATGAAGATCATAATTTTAGCTCAGCCCACTTGAGGATTACTTGCTACACAATCGCCTCGCCACCAAACCACCTCATATGCAAAAGCGCTCGACAGTAAAAGAGACTCTTATTCATACGACTGATTTTGACAAATTATAAAAAACGGAAGGTCAAACAGAAAGTATTAATATATTTTATTGTTTGATGATAGGCAAAATTCAGGGGATTGTAATAATGTAATGGAGGTTGTGTTCTCAGAATGAATGATGGTTTGATCTCTGAGATCTGTTGCGCTATATTCATTCATCCAGAAATGAAAATACTATTATGGCGGCTATAAATCAGCTCCCTCACTAATGCCTATTTTCCTAATGTTTAGGTGCATCGACTTGCAAAGCCTCTTCTAAGGAGGGAGTAATCCAGCTTTCACTACATGCCGACCTGTGCCGAGGGCTCTCAAACAACTGCAAATGGGCAGAAACTCGTAAAAATGGCGTTAAGTCTGAAGACGTCATTGAAGCTCTGCAAAAATAAATATCAAACTATTACAACCAGTTCAAAGAAAACCAAACAACGTCGTTAAGATATGCTCTTGTCAAAGAGCCTAAGGGAGAAGGAGCGGGAGGTTGTGGATGATTCCGATGTTGTGGACTGGCTATCCCCATGTTGGGGATGATCCAGTTATCCATCATCAGAAGATCCATCGTAACTGAAGTTGATATGCGGGATGATGCATGTATTTAGAAACTCTCAAAGAGTGGATACGTCAAAGACAAGGGTAAGCAAATCGTTCTGTTTTGGTCAGTATAAATGATACTCTGAGTAAATGGTGTTTTAAGACAGTTGGTGCACAAGAACACATTGGGGTCCTAGACGTTTGACTCTTGGGGAACAACAAAATGGGAGTTGACATCGCTGGACCTCGTTCCACCAAAGCGATCATTATAGCGCTACGACTGTCGTAAGTCTATGCTAATGCATGGGAGTTTCGATCACCTTAGCGCTACGACTGTCGTAAGTCTATGTTAAAGTATGGGAGTTACGATCACCTTAGCACTACGACTGTCGTAAGTCTATGTTAAAGTATGGGAGTTACAATCACCTTAGCACTACGACTGTCGTAAGTCAATGTTAAAGTATGGGAGTTACGATCACCTTAAGTGCCACGACTGTCATAAGTCTATGTTAAAGCAAAGGAGTTACGATCGTCTTATGGATTACGATCCTCTGAGACTTGGGGGACTTTGGGCCCCAACTATTCTCGAAACGTTCGTAGCCCTACGAACTTCTTAAGCCCATTCTTAACACATTGGCTACGATCAAAGTTAAAAATTCTTAGGAGCTACGAACGTTTCGAGAATGAGGGCCCAGAGTTCCCTGTGTTTAATCAAAACCCGCAATCTATCCGTCCCACAAGTCATGTGGAACTATGAATGAACATAATATGGGTAATAAAATGTATAGCAACTGAATACATTTCTAATTTTACTAAATTCAAAAATACATTCAAAATGTCTATCTTTTAGATACGAGTTACTTTGATATCGGATTATAACAAAAAAGAATTATTCTTATTGAGGATCTTGTGTATGTATTTATTAGCTGTCCGAATCTTCACTCAAACTAATTTCCATCGGTTCCTCCCTCAGGCTGTTAATGTTTACAGAATGCCCCGTGAAGCCAGGTACAGAATACCCCGTGAGCCAGGTAGTGGCCGTGGGATATGCCTCATCCTCAACAAGAACTTCTCTATCCCAAGGTTCGAGCAAGGTCAGGGTCAAGAGATTGACATGGAAAAACTGCATGCTACATTTACCAGTCTGGGATTTATGGTGATGATAGAAACAGATTTAACTTCAAGATCACGCAAGAGCTCAATTTGTGATTTTCCAACACACACCGATTTCTCGGAACATGATGCCTTCATTTGCTGCTTGCTGACTCACAGGAACAACGACATGCTATACGGCACCGATGGGTTTCTATTCCTTTATCTGAGATTACTTCTGGAGTTTACATCAGAGAATGCATCACTTGCAGGCAAACCCTAAGATATTCTTTGTCCAAGCCGACATGGGAAGGACTCGTATGCAGGGGTTCAAACTGCCAACGGAGATGGCTGAGGCTGGAAAGCGTTCAGGTCGTCATAGACAGTGCCGACTTCCTCATCGGTTATTACACACCTCATGGGTATGCAAGCTACAGGGGCAGATCAACGGGTGGTTGGTATATCAAGACCCTGTGAAGTGCTAGTCGGGAATGCGGACAGTCACGATCTTCCCCTGACAAATCTGGTGGAAGTGAACTCCAGAGTTGCAAGGTCAGTTGGGCATCACGGTGAGAAGCAGGTCCCAGCTCCGATGTTTACTAACAAAATCTCTGCATCTCACCATTGGCCCATCGGCTGTTTAAAAGCATGAAAAATGTTTGATTGGGTCATAAAGACGTAGCTGTGACAGCAGACTTCACAGAAGAAACAGTATTTCATCGACTGTACAGGCATTCATCCTCTAAGCTTTGCTGTCAGATGCGAGTTTGATTGTTAATTCTATGTAAGGACCGGGTCGCGAATCCGTTCGTATCGCAACGACATTCGAAGGACAATACAAACTATAGGGGATTACGACATGTCGTAGCTTGGTACGAATCTTTAAGGATGGGGACGCTGATTCATACGACCGGAAGTGGACTGTACTCCCCAAAAGAAATCGAAGCTGTGATTAGCAAACCAGTGGTTGATACTGTGAACGATTCATTTCGTCCTGGTACGACGACACGAAGGATTACTTATATGTCTTACCCTATATATGTACGTTTGTGTATATTACTGTTCTTGTGTGTTGATACAGTTTGATCTATGGTTTCAGTCCACCACGTTGCATCAAACAGTTCGTGATTTTGTCAAACCCCACATTTTGCTAGGAAACTTTCATAGTTTGATGAACGTCTGCGTCTGGTTGATAAGCAGAGGACACATACCAAAATAACATCCTCACACTGTTCAACATTGTTGTTTTACGATTTCACATCTGTTCCAAGGAAAGGTGGTTATAAGGACAAACAGGGGCGTTGGGGTATTGGCCCTAGTGGTTAAAGCGTTCCTCGTCACGCCGAAGACCCTGGTTCGATTCCCCATGGGTACAATGTGTGAAGCCCATTTCTGGTGTCCCTGCCGTGATAGTGCTGGAATATTGCTACGTAAAAAGCGGCGTATATGGCTAAAGCTCCTCACTATAAGGACAAACAAATGCCTAATGTCCATATATGAACATACGTGTGAATGTCAGAATATTAATATGATTGCAAGAACATATAAAGAAGAATACTAATATATCACAATATATGTTTTAAAGAAAATAAACTTTACTGGTTGTTTTAAACATATGTCAATCCATAGTATTTACAACGTCGAGTTGTATTTATTTTCGAAAAATAACTATATATTCATTGTCAGGCAGACCCGTATCGTATTACATTACTCGAATCTGCAGTATCAAGATCCTCGTCCACAAGCTTCTGCAACAAACTGACCATTCTCGGTGAATTACAGATGGCTGCGCTGCTGGCCGCGGTAACATAATCAAGCTGAGGTTCTTTCATTTGTCTTGAGAGGCGGTGGGTTAGCCTAGTGGTTATAGTGTTCGCTCGTCACACCGAAGACCGGGTTCGATTCCCCTCATAGGTACAATGTGTGAAGCCTTTCAGGTGTCCCCTCTGTGATATTGCATGATTATTGAAAAGATGGCGTGTAAAAACACACACCCACTCACATCTACAACGACTGTCTCTGTGGTATAGCGCATCGAACAATTGTCCAGAGAGCTGTCTGTTGATGGTTCGATCCCTGGTGGCATCAAAGCAAAGACGCTAAAGATACGGTACAGTACAATACAATACTTATATTGCTAAAAGCGGAGTAAAGCTAAAATCCCTCACTCACCGATTTGCCTTGACAGTGATGTCATTATTAGAGATATATTTAGTTTACGTACCTAAGGGAATAAATGAAATAATCTCCATCGCACCAAAGTGCCGACGATACTTATGGGAAAGTACACATCACTTCACCTTTCAAAACTATGCTAATCTATTATAGCACTATCTACAATGAAACAGGGGTGATACAATCAATGTTAATCGATAGCGCAGCATAAGTGATTCTCTCCGAGTTAAAATGGTCTTCAGTAATCCATGCTTGTCGAAAGAGGCGACTAACGGGGTCAGGTGGTGAGGCTCACTGACTTGGCTGACACGTATCGTATCCCAATTGAATAGATCGGTGCTCCATGTTGTTGATCACTGGACTGTATGGTCCAGACCCATTATTACTGACCGCTGCCAACAGGTGGAATATTGCTGAGTGCTGCATTAAACAACAAACAAACGATAGTACATCAGTGACATTCTTCAGCGTCCTGAAGGATTCTTCAAGGACTGTTGCTGCCTCCATGACCGGAACTGGAACTATTTCAGTATTTGCAGATCCACGTCACTGTTATCTGAAATATATCTGAGGGCTCTCATAACCAACTGGGCTGTCATGGCATCGCCCCTCGTCATGGTTTCTGCACTGTCAAGTCTGGTGCCGTCATAGTAAGGTCAGCCTCTTGTAACTGCGTTACACCGGATTGAGAATGCCTGGGTACACTATCCACTGAGAGAGCTCAGGTATCCAAACCGGTTCTTGTTTTGGTTTCCTTTGTCTCCTGGAAACAGATGTAGAGTATTCCATTAACTCGGATGTAGTCCGTGTATTTTAGATGTGACAAGACTTTATGGATGATCAACTTCTATATTTTGACAATGGCGACGTTTCGGTATGGATTCTTATACCGTTTTTCAAGCATATGGGGAATGGTGGGGTACACCAGTATATATACAAGATAAGATAATGCGATAACAATAACAATGATGGGAAACAAAGCATCAAAGAAAGTTACATGATGAGCTACAGTGACATGATGATGAGCTAAGATAACATGAATGAGATGAGTGGGATTACCATGGCAATTGGTGAATGTAAAGTTAATTAGGCAGAAGCCAAGGTGGTGGGGATTAATTAGTGGGAAGCCAGTGGTGAGGAATGTCAGTTAGGCAGGTGATGAGAAGCCAGAGTGGGTTGAGTGTATTTGTAATGAAAGTTACGCATGTAGAAATGTTGCTTTGATTAATATAATGGACGCAAATGTAATTGGTTGGAATTCAGGGTATGCGGATTAACTATGTCCGGAATAACCAAAAGGTATACATACATTACGGAGAAAAGTTCCTTTGATTGATATCTATACAGAGGAATGTAATCGGCCGGAAGACAGGGTTGCGGAATGAATATGTCGTGAATTACCATGTTACGTACGTACGGGTAAATGTTCCCTTGATTAATGTATGTAGAGACAGATATAATCGGTCGGAAGTGAGGGATGTGGATTAACAATGTCCAGAAAAACGACTG